ATCTGTTCTTCTGTCCTCCCTCCCTCCCTCTCTCTCTCTCTCTCTCTCTCTTTCATTTTGATTTTGGTACCGGGGATCAAACTCGGGACCTTGAGCTTGCAAGACAGGCGGCAGAACCACTGAGCTAAATAAATCCCTAGCCCCTAACCTGTACTTTATTATAGTTTGACTTGTATTTAACTTTTACTTTTGTTCAGGTTGTATAAAAATATGGACTTATTGCTAGAACGTTATAAAACTTTACAGCTCAAACTTTACATTTGTATGTATTTAACCAGTGTTATAAAAAACTAATTGGAAGAAACAGAGGCATAATGTTGAAGCTAAATTCAGGAGAATTTATTTTTCTTTATGAGTTTTGTACATTACTTACACTAAAGAAAATTCGTATTATCTGTCCTTCAGAGAGGAAGAAACTAAGCCTTGAAAAGGTAAGTAAAGTTACCTAGAGTCATGTAGCAGTTCATTAGTGAAACAGATTTAAACCCAGCTTTGCCTAACTTCAGAGTTCAAAGTGCTGCCTCCTTTGGAGGGAATGAAGATACACTGGGGCCTCAGGGGTGTAGGCTGTGAGGGTCAAAGCCAGAAGGCAACCTAGGGCTCTCTGGTATTCAGAAGACAAGGAGAAAGTTAAGAGAAGTCAGAAAGCAAGGTGAGACATTTTGGCCAAGGGTCCTCTTGGCAGCACACAGCCACCTGACAATTCACTAATTCCTTCTCCATGAAGTCCATGCTGGTGCTAAGGATGCAGATTTGTTTATCTGTGCCTTCCCAGTCTTCAAAGAGTTATGGTCTTACTTCCATTTTTGAGATGTCTGTTCAGAAGAGGACTAATCTGAAAGTCTAAAGATCCTCAAAGTCTACCATACCCGCCCACATTCCGTGGAAGTTATTCTAATTTAGCATTCCCAGTCCAGCTGAGCAACATCTACCCAAATCCTGTCCTTCCTCTGCATAAAACAGTAAGGAGGAGATGTAGAAAACTGTAGAAGCAGCAAAGAGACCTAATCAGTTACCCATTCAAGAAACATCTATGGCACACCTGTAATAATAATGAAGCTAATACTGGGTGTCACGGGGTACAGATGATTCAGTTCTTGAACTCAAAGAGTTATTTATGAAGAAAAACAATTAACAGCACCTAACACTTAAGATAATACTCACTCAGTCCTCACAACTGATCTGTGAGGTATTATTATCATCAAACAGCTGAGTCATAGAAACAGAATTACATCCACTAGTAAAGGCAAGGCAGGATCAGCATGCAATCTGGCTCCAAAGACTACCATGGTCTTACCTACTGTGCTCTAGTGGTGGCTAAATGTCAGCTTTCAGACAGAGAGATTCACCTGACTGACTAAATCAACACTAGATTCCCCCACCCTCACTAATCATAGGTGTGCTGGAAAGGGCACGGGCTTTTATCAGGCATGGGGTCAACTCTAGGCCTGAGAACAATACTACTCAGCTTCAGCTTATACATTTCTAAAAACTAGGCTACTCTGAGATTAAATGAGATGATATGCAGAGTTGACCTTCAATAAGTATTTGTTCACTCACTGTAAAATTCCATCTTTGTGCTTCAGCTCGGTGTTTTCCCAGCTATTACCTATCCCTTGTCTACAGGTAGAGATAGGTAAGGAGGAAAGGGGGACATGAAGAAGAGAGGGAACTATGGTTTCAACCTTGCTTGATTTCCTCTCTGAAACACAAGGTACATCCCTGGAGACTCTGAAGGTCTCTCCATCTTGCACCTGCACAAGCTTTTCTAGTTTAGAATACAGACCAAAAAGGTGGATGAGAGGTTGCTGAACCAAGAAAATACACATAGGGCAAATGGTTAGTAATCCGTACTATTTCAACAGACAATTGAGAAAGAGAAGAAACAGAAAATTTATTGACACTTTTGTTCTAAATGCTCACATATAAAGGTTTCACTTCACCTTATGTTTTTAGAAACAGTCCAGACATGTCAAATAAACTCTCTTAAACTTTAAAATAAAAAAAGATTGACTGGAGTGTATGCCTGAGGTGGAACTGTGGGGGTGTGGTAATTGAGGAGAAACGAAAGAGTACTGAGTTTAAAGCAGTTGCTGTTCTTGCATCCCCTTTCTTGCCCCCATACCCACACCCCAGAATTTAGGGTTCTAACCTAGACACAAGCCTCAGGTGCTGCTCCCTGGAAGGTGTATCTGTCCCAGCTCCAAACCTGCCCTACGAAAAATCACTGCCTCAAAGGCTCTTGTCTTAAAAAAGACTTTCAGGTTCAAAGGACTTCCACAGTCATATGTTAATATTCTTCAAATCACTTGTTCATAATTAATAAAATGCAAGTAAAAACCATAAAAGTTCTATTATATGCATTCCCCTGTTCTTTGTTTTACAGTGATGGGGAACAAACCTCAGGCCTTGCACGTAACTAAGCAAGCCCTCTATCCCTGGCTACATGCCCTGCCCTGCTATATACATCTCTTTTTGTGAGGTTTTTAATTTTTTTGTTTGTTTTTTGGAGACAGGGTCTGGCTGTTCAGTCCAGGCTGGCCTTGAACTCACACTTTAACCTGGGCTGGCCTCAAACTACAGTGATCCATCTGCCTCAGCTTCCTAAGTGCTGAGGTTATAGGCATGTGCCATTATGCCTGACTTATACACATCTTTTAAAGCAAATTCTTATGACAATACCTTGCAATGGTAAGACTGAAATGGTTTTATGAATTCTGCTGATAGAATCATAAATCGGTACAGCTCTTTTGGAGGGGAGGAAGGGTCTTGCTATGTAGTTCAGGCTGGCCTCCAATTCACAGTGACCCTTGCCTCACCCTATTGAGTAACTACCTCACCCAGCTGGTATATCTTATTTGTCAACAAAATGTGACAGTCTTGTCGGGCTGGGGATGTAGCTTGGTGGTAGTGTTTACCTAAAATGCATGAGGCTTGGGTTGTTTCCCTAACACTTTGGAGGTTGGGGAGAGTCCACAGAAGTTTCTACTCTCTGACTATTCTACTTATAGGAAATAATACTAAAGAAATTACTGAACAGAACTGAAAGGGATATAGATAATGGCTCTCATTACAGAATTAACTATTAAAACTCAAACAAATAATCTAAATATTCTGCGACACTCTTCCATTGGATCCTATATACTTTGTTTTATATTGCTTATTGCATTTTAATGATTTGTTCAACAGCTTTCTCCCAGGGACAGTAATCCCCCATGAACGAAGAGTTACCTCTGTCTAGATCCCTGGTAAAAACAGACTATAGGAATCAAGAACAAATATTGAAATATTAGTAATGTTAAGTAAAAATAATGTTAAAAATGTAAATACTAGGAATGAAAGTATAGCCTATGCTCTCGTGGAAAGGATTATACAAAGCTGAAAATGAGAATGAGCGATGAGAGCAGTGATGGTGAACCCTTTAGGGACGGAGCAGCCAAACTGCAACCCAAAACCCACTTACCTATCACACAGTAACAACACTGCAATTAACCTGAATATTGAGGTTTTAGTTTAGAAAAAAACAACTGTTATCTGGTGCTCTGCTGCTGGGGCAACTTGGCTTGAGTGCTGACAGAGAGGGCTCTGCGTGCCCACTGTGGCATGCGTGCCATAGGTTTGTCATTACTGGACTACAGGATCACTACATAATTTCTAAATTATTTTATATATTCTGTGAAGCTGTTTGGTGCCTTGGAAATGAAGACGTGGGAAAATCTGTTGTTCTTATCCACCAAACTTGATCTCAGAATAGGGATGAAATGGCCACTATGAAAGTTTAAGGGGTTCCTCATTTCACTCCAGATACGTGGTGCTCTTCCTTTGCTCAAGAGTAGAAAGATCCAAAGTACTTATATACAACATATATAGTATAATCCATTTCAATTTTTAAAAAATCTCAAAGCTGTATGTTTCAAAGACACAAGAAAAGTCCTCCAAGCAACCCTGTAGGACAGTGAATGTGCTGATTCCTAACAGCAGGGGGTGCCAAAGGGCTCACTATTGTTCCCAGGAGATGGAGGAGAGAGGCAGCAGAGGCCTGGGTTAGTTGCGCTTTGGTTAGTGTGAAGCCTGAGTTATGCAGGTTTTCCCTCAGCCATGGGACTCAGTATTTCTGCAGACCTCAAGGAACAAAAATTACATTTCTACCTTCACTCAGTTGGATATGTAGCCTTTCCCTGAATTATAAACAGAGGGAAGAAATCACAGTAGTATGTATTAGCACTGTTGGTGACTGTCATGAACAGAAATCCTAGCTAACAACAGAGCACATTATATAATTGGTACAGATTTTTCAAATGCCATTTATACTCAACACCATCTCAAAAAAACAGACTTCCACAGTTATGGTTAGAACTGTAGCTAGGTCTTGTTATTTACTCTATTCATAAAGCCACACATGTTACATCACATTTAATAATATGATGACTTGAAATATAACAGAATTATTTTATATTCCAGTAAATTTTATTTTTATGCACATAAAAACACTTTTCTGATAAGGGCTTTTATAGGCTTTACCAGACTGGCAAAGGGATAGAAAAGGTTAAGAACATCTGCTCAGTCTAAAGGCAGGCAATTGAGAGGAAAAATCAAATTTGATCTGAACACAATTGTAGAGAAAGGTATTTTAAGTCGCAAGAGAGAAGTGGCCATAATGAACATTTTCATTTAGCTTGAATTCCTTGAAGGAGGGAAATCTACAAGTTTTGCTTTCCAGGCTCCAACTGTACCAGTGTTTCAAGAGACCTATTTGTAGATATGACATTCAAAGATCTACCTTATCCAATTTGCTACTGCAAGGCAGGCTGTTTGTAGTGCAGGCACAAAGGCATGAAATAACAATGCAAATGTTGTCCCCAACATCTCTCTGGAAGTAATCATTATATGTGGACTCTCCAGAGAGCAACTACATTCATTTGATGAACAAACAAGATCAGATCTGAAATGCTAGAAGGTAGGGACAAGATACTAAGATAAATAACAGAGTCAGTACTCACATTCGAACAAAGAGCGACTCTTTGGATGTCAGACCAGGAGACGAATATTTTTCAACCAGGGCCAAAGTACTGAAGCCAAACTTATGAATGGGCTCGTTGGAATCCAGCGGGGGGAAATCAGTGTCCACCTCCCCGTCGTCCTCAGCAATATGCAGGCAGTAGGCACTGACATTGTCACTGAAAGGAAAACCAAAAAGGTGAGTGAATGTCAAGGGAGAGAGGGCACATGAAGAACAGAAGGTATGGGGTACAGCAAGCAGACTAAGGGCCCTACTGATCTGCATCCCAAGCCTGTGATAGTTAGAATCTCCAGATCCTATATCACCTAATATGGAGAAAGCACATGGCAGAGCAAAGAAGAAAAAAACAACCGAAATGCGGTACAATCATTATTTCACTGGTTGTTTGATCTATACAGTTGTTTTTGTGGTACCAAGGTTGAACCTAGATTCTTTTCCACTGAGTTGCTTCCCAACCTTTTTTATTTTGAGTCAGGTTCTTACTAAGTCACTAAGTTGCCTAGGCTGGGCTTGAACTTGTGATTCTCCTGCCTCAGCCTCTCAGAATGCTAGGATTATAGGTGTGTACCACCAAGTCCAGCATTATACAGATTATTTTTTGAATCAAATGATATTGATCATAGAGATCTTCTAATATTTACTGAGCACCTGTTGTGGCCAGGATGCAGAACATAATCCCAGAGATCAAAGTTGAGATTTAATAACACCCCTAAAGGCATAGAAACAGTGCAGTAGGGGGAGAAAAGTAAACACTAAACTATAATTAGATACAACGAAACTATAAACACTGGAAAGAACTATTTAGGGGGAGCCAGAGGTCTTTGATTAATGGGAAGGATTAAGACACTATGAGGAGAAGTATGCAAGACAACCAGGACTATCCATCAGTTCTCCCTTCTATAAGGACAACTAACTCACACGGCAGAATCTGACTTCAAATACAATGGATCCTTAGCAGAATAAAGGCAAATGGCCTGATTATCCTGATGCAGACAGATGGGCCTCTTCACTACTTTTGGACAATCCCCGCTTCCTCAGAATGCCCAGTAAGTATTCCCAGATCCCAGCCTTCCCAAGTTTAGAATCAACATACAGCTTCTCTCTCCTTTGGGGAAATAAGATGATTGGTTAAAACAGAGTGGGAGACTATCCCAGCATATAGACAATTTAAAACTTAAATCAACTTAAACACATTAAGAGACTTTGCTTTAAAGCTGAATTGTGAAACTGAAAATCTGCTAGCATTCAGAAGCATACTGGCTTAAGAAGCAAAATCTAATAGTTCAGAAGGCAGTAGACGACTTCTAAATTCTGTAGCTTAAACTTAAAGAGTTTTAATTACATGATTGATGCTTAAATTAATTAATTACAAAGTGTATGCTAATTGTTTAATTGGTTGCTTGATCTATATAGATCATTTTTTGAATTAAATGTGTTGATTTACAAAGTTTATTGATTGGATGTGACAATGAATTATTTCACTGACTACCTGATTTGCAATTTTCCCAATTAATTCACAAATCTTTAGCTGCAACTCTGCTTATTGAGAGAGAGCCTACTTCAGGTGATCTATACTCAGTAAGTCTGTCATGACTAGGAGATATTTATTATAGAAAACAGGTAACAGGGACAGATTAAAATTAATGGAAACTATAAATTTGCTAAATGAGTGGATAACAAGAAAGTAATCTGGCTATGTTCATCACTATAAATTTTGTGTATTTGCAATGCTGTTAAATTTAAAATTCATCTCCAAATGGTATGGGAAACTTCTGGATCTTTGCAGGAGGGTACCAAATTGACCACAAAACAATTGCAAAAGCAGAAGAAAGTACTTCAGATGATAAAAATGCCATGGTACAGTGCTAAAAGCTTTGTGATCTAAAAGACTTGGATTCAAATCTCAGTACCAATGACTCATGGGCAATGTGATTTCAGAGACTATGCTTCACTTTCAGTTTCAGTTTCCATGTCTACAAAAAGGGTGTAATTACCTAATAACACATGTAGTGCTTAGACTAAAACTGAGATAAAAAAGTAAAATAACATTAGTAATAAAATCAAATGGAAACCATTACAATTCCTAAATCGTGGTTGCACATGAGCGCAACAAAACAATAATGAAACCAAGCAGCTCATCAGATACACACATCTGTAACTGGAGTTAACACTCGCACTGTGCTCCAGCCTTGGGGCTGCTAAACCTCTAGGGTTTATGGAGAGGAAAGACATTGATGGGACAAGCAACAGACAGCAAGCACAGATTATTTGTTGCCATGTAAATCAACCTGAGAAATGTCTGTGATTCCCCAGCATCACAGAGGTTCAAGGCCAAATAATAAGTCTATTGATCAAAACAGAAAGCCAAACACTGATATCAGAAGAATTCTGCTCTGACTGTCATGGGACAGCCTCAAATCCCCTCAAAACAAATTCAACTAATGTCACAAGCTCAGATCTGAAAGTAAAGAAAGGGCTCACTGCCAAGCACTATTATTATCTCTAGTTCTTAAATCATTCATTCAAAAACATCGGCAAAGCACCTACCTGCTGTGGCAGCGTGTCCTGAACACTAAGAACTCATCAAGGAAAAGAAGGATTTCCTGTCATATTACACAGAATAATGGAAATCCCTTCTGGGTCATCAGTAAAGTTTATCAGCAAAGTGTTCCAACCCTTTAATTGAAAATCTGAGGAGATAATGATCAACATTCTCTATTTATTGTGTGGACCTACTGGTTCCTTCATGCCTTTATAAAGGAGTCATTAGTAGAAAAAGCTACTATTGTACTTTGACTTGTAAAACTGTTCAGGACTCCAAATTAGTACTCATACAGCACTACGGTATCATTGCTTATATTTACAGAGGGCTACATGCCAGACACTGTGCAAAGAGGTTTAGATACATCAGCTCACTTAATCTTTCCATCAGATCTGTGTGTCAGTTATTTATATTTCTGTCTTAAGAATTAGAAAACTGAGGCTCAATGGGATTAGCAGTAGCTTGTTCAAGATTAGATGGCATATGAGAGAGAGCTGAGTAGCTCTCTGCTAAAGTTATGGGGGGGGTGGTTCAAGACTTCTCAAGGTGCTTGGGAAGCCACACTCCTGGAAAATGCCACTTTGGCTTTTAATGAGAAAGAGAAAATCATAACATTACTTATAAAAACAGGGGCCTACAAAAGTTTATTTGAAATGCATTTAAAAAATAGATGGAGTATAGAGAGAGATCTAGAAAAGAGAAGTAACAAATTTATGATTACCCAATTTAACAGAGACAAAGGCAGTCTAGAGAACTTACGCTTTCCTACTTTTGTTGCATAATTCTTATTAAAAACCAGGAATTAGCGGCATTTTGAAATGGGAGGGGGAAAAAAAAAGTGGAGCTCTGGTCCCCACCCCAGTAATTCCCTAATACAGACACCTGGACACAAAGAAAACATGGCATCTTCTTGTGATATTCTTGGGTTTAAAGAACAGGATTTTTGTAGTCACATCTACAAAATGATGTGATGATGCAACCTCCAACCAATAAGGAACCAAAACTCTCTGAGATTCATTTTCTTATCAGGGAATCACATGGATCTCTGAGAAACCAAGTGTGCCTGTTGCCTTTCTGATTTTACAGCATACAGTCACTATTTCTACAGATCACCTAGCTCTTTTTTCTACTTATGCATCTATATTCTCCTAAAGAACAGAGATTCTTCTCTTGTCTCCTCATGCTTCTGCAAGGTAAAACAGCTGGCATTTGCAAAGTACTTAACAAATATTTGTTAGATGAATGAATATATAACTGTGTAGGCTGAAGCACTACAGAAAAAGCCTATAGGGTATTATTAATGAGATATGTGTGTTAATGAAAAGAGGGGACGTAATAAGCTTTCTTTTTATTTTCTTGCTTGTCACAATGATACCTGGAGATTTCACCTGGAGATTTCTGAGCAATACATATGAGTCTAAGATTGTAGTTCAAGAAACAAGAGAAGGCAGCACAGGAAGAGGAAAGGATAAAGGGAATTTTTGTCCATCAGGATGTGAGTACTGACACCCTCCAACTCATTTCTGGCAGTACTGGGGACTAAACCTAGGAAGTGCTGAACTACGTTACCAGCCCTTTTTATATTTTATTTTGAGGTAGGATCTAGCTACATTGCCCACACTAGCTTCAAACTTGGAAAGTAAAAAATAATTATAACTAGGTAAATTTTTTCTATTATATACATATAAAAAGATTAGCAATAGAAGAACCAAAATGTTTATAGGGTTATACCTACATTTAAGTCATGCATACTTTTTTCTTTCTAATATTCTATATTTTCTGAATGTCCTGAGTATGAGTAACTTTCATTTTCTTTATACAGCTGGGCGTAATGGCTCACACCTGTAATCTCAGCACTAGGGAGGCTGAGGCAGGAGGATTGCTGGGAGTTCGAGACCAGCCTGGGCTACATAATGAGTTCCAGGTCAGTCTCAACTACATAGTAAGACCCTGTCTCAACAAAACAAAACAAAATAAAACAAACAAGCAAAAAAAAGTACAAGGAACATTCCTCAGCCCATCACACAGTATCACCTGCCCTACAGGCCCGAGCTATGCCTACCTCAGCCATATGCCTAGATTTCTGAGTGTTCACTGTCTCTACCAGATTCTAAAATTACAAAGGAAATAACCACACCTGCCACATAAGAGTTTCATAAGGGTTAAATGACTTAATGCACTACACAGTGTCTGGCATGAAAAGATTCTTATTTTGCTAAGATTTCTTCTTAAGTTTCTGATTACACTAAAGCATGGTGAATAGCAAGAGGTAGAAAAACTGAAAAGTCTGGTTTTTGATTCACTACCGGGGAGAATGATTAAAAGACTAATAAACAAAAATAGATTTAAGGTTAGGCTTGGGTTGGCATGCAAGGAGAAGTTCCTTTCTGGGACCAGGAGACAATGAATGGATGAAAAATGGAGCCTGTTGCCAAAAAGAGATTCTTGGTTAATGTAATGGAGATGTAGAACCAAATCTTTAATAATAGCTAAATTTCACCAATTTATGTCTCATCAAATGAGGTTTTATTAGAAAAATTGATTTCACTGAACTGTTCACTAATATTCATTTTATATCCAAAGGTTTCACCAATATTAATTTTATAGTCAAAGGC